AACGCCCTCCACAACTAGACTGAAGAACAAAACAACAGCAACTTGTCTGTTCCCCTTCCCCCAATTCCCCAGCGCTGTTCCCATCCCCCGATTCCCCAATAAAAATCTTAAAAAAAAAAAGGCAGGAATTACGTGATATGAAATAAATAGTTTGAACAGTCTCTCACAATGGCTAAAACACAGATTTTTTACTTCAGAAAGACTAAAACCAAATAATACATTTGGTCCTACTTACTGACTTCTATTGAGTATTGGCTTTCTTAACTATAGAATGGAAAAATAATCCCTACAACATAAGGTTACTATAAAAATAAAATATAAAGCTTTGGCAATAATATATACTCAATAAATAGTAACTATTTTTATTAAGAGAGGAATGCTAACAACCAGGAGATCAAACCCAGATTCCTCTACGTTTATGGCATGGTAATTTGTGTTTCGGGGGGGGGGGGGGGAATCCCACATCTAATAATTTTTCATTAATGTATACATAATTGACACAACCTGAATAGAAGAACTTTTTTTTTGGTCTTCAATACACCAAATATTATGAACGCAAAAGATACAATGGGGTCAATGTTTGTGGTATATTTGAATTTGGGAAATTATTGCTTTTCTAAAAAACAAAGACGGGTATCAGTGGAAGCTGATGAATGGGTTTCCTCAGTAGGCTTTAATCCATTAAAATACAATAAGACACACATTAGGCCCAATCTTTTATGATCTTACTAGTGTGGGTTTTAAGAAAAAGTGTGAGAGTTAGGCCCAAAGGTTCCTTACTATAGTAAAAGGATTATAATTAAACTATAATAAAAGGATTGTAATTAAGGATAGGTCCCTCCAAAAACTCACTTTGGTCTTTTTTTATATGGTTGCTGAGGTGGTGTGATTGCCTTTGGTTCTGGCGAGTCTGGGGGAGATGGATCTCCACCAGGGAGCTCTGGAGGAAGAGGGAGGTCTGTGAGCAAGTGACGTGTCCTTTGTTCCTTCTCTTTCTTCACAGGTTTTGAAGGTAGAGTTTCTTTTGGACTAAGCAATAGAGAGGAAGAGAAGAAAAAGATCACAACTAAAGGATATGCAAATAAAACTTTCAAAATTTATGATGTCTGGCTATTAAAAGAGTACAAAGATTTTACTTTTAAGGGGAAAAATCCTGTAATATAAGGTAAGAAAATGGAGTTTATCAAAGTTAAACATACTTGGATTTTGCAAAAAGAAACCTATACTAGGAAAACAATGAAACTTTTTGACTATTACTTGTAAGTCTAACAAGCTCTTCCTTTAATATCCTTCCTAAGATTCTATTTGAATTTTTACTGAGATGAAATAAAATATCGGAAGTAATCATTTTAAATTCACAATGTACTACTGCAACTCAAGGAGTCACCAAACCTACTCTGTATTTTAGCCAGCAGAGGTTTAAATAAGGAATGAAAGCTCAATAATGTACCACTACTATGTTACTAAAGATGTGGAGAGAATCTGGAAAAAGGAAGTCGTATTTTAGAGTGTTTTGTAAGAAAAACAACTAAGCTTAAAATCAAAATTAGTGAAAAATACACTGATTTATTGTTGGTTTGGAAGCAAAAGGCAACCACACCTGATCAGCCAATGTGAAAAAAATAACCTTCAAACTAAAAATCTAAGGAGAAAGAGTCCAAGCAACTATTTCAGAATCATTAAAGCAGGTCTCTCATGATAATCAACAAATTACAGCAGTCAGTGAGGAAAAAGAAAGGATGACTTTTCTGGAATAGATTAAAAAAGTCAGTTTTCAGATCCAATTTTTTTTTAACTATCTCAATTTATTTATGAGTAAAGGAAGGATTTTGTGCCATGCATGTCCTCAGAAAAGATAATGTGGCATACGAATTCATGCCTACAAATAAAACCATGCTAGATCATTAGCCTTTTGTATTCCATCACAGTATCAGAAGGTTGAAAAGCACCTGAGAATCCTAACTACAGTAGGAGCCTCCTCCACTTTTCTGACAAGTGGCTATAAAAAAAATTGTTTTTCTTTTTAAAGCAGACTGTGACTAAAACACTAGATTTCCATTCACAAAACTTGCTCTGAGTTACTTTCGAACAGCTTTACAACATGCCTGGGTAGGCTGATGATTTTTGCTACTCCAAACAATACTTTTCTTGGGAAACAAGCTCTACGGCTAGTTACTCCCATCACGTTGGTTTAGTTTAACACTAATTTCTAGAGGCCTGGTACAATGCAGTTGATAAGTATAGGGATGGAAGGCTTAAAAAGTAGATCTTAGACGAGGAAACATCATCTTTCATGAATACTTCCACAGAATCCTAAAGATCTATCTATACCTTATATCTTTTTGAAGCATACTGCTGCCCTGTGTGTGTGAAACAATCTCAAAAGCTACCACTTCCCACCAATTTTCATCATTATAATCTCTTGGAAATCAAAATAGAATCTAAGTTAGTTTGAACCATGTCTTCTTGATGGAGTACAAGATGATAATCTGAAACTTTCTGTTAAATTACTGACACCAATGAACATACATTATTATAATTTGCACTACGATTTTTCTACCCTGGGAACACAGCCTATTACCAGAAAACTCGAGTGCAGGACACAACATAGATTTTTTAAATTTCCCCAATTTTTAAGACATTCAGATAAAGAAAATTCCTCATTTCTTAACTACTAATGTCAGAAATTTCAATTCCTCATGATTCAGAAATACATTATTTCTTGGTTTTGCTTCACAAGAATCAAAGTATCTGAATTATCTCACCATCATTTCATCTAAGTTCAGTCTATGTTTTTTATATTTAGGTCTCGTTTTTTCCAGGGTTTATTTTATGGGTTTAAATATAATTTGCCACTGTGAAAATGAACATTGCTTCTGAAAAGAAATCACATTATTAGCATGCTTACTTCAAGAAAGAGTGTTTCATAGGATGTGTATATCCTACCAAGTCAGGGCAACAAGATGAAGAGAGGTCAAATTCTATTTCAACAAATACCAAATTACCAAAAATATTGGAATAATGATGGCCCATAAAATTGCAATGCTTAACAACATTACGGTCATTAGCCTTTAGTGGAGGGTACTCAGTAAAATATAGCTCTTTACAGTGTGGAGGACATATGGATGTTGAGAGAGTCTAACATAGAGAAACAGACACTGAAAATCTAAGTCATTACTTATAGATGTAGTAACAGGAAGTGCTGATCTACAGAGAGGGCCAAGAATTTGTCCAAAGCCCATTGTCCATTATCCACAGTGAGATATCAGATGAGCAGGGACTGAAACTCAGGCTCCTGACTACCAGCAGGGCCCTCTCCTTCCCACTCCACTCCAACTGGGATGCTTTACTGATGGGGTGAGACAGGCAGGGGCTGAGGAATGGCGGGGAGTGGACTCCCTCACAGTGCTTGCCCACAGCTGTGAGTCACCTAAGGGGGTCTGGGGGTCTACCTTGCCTTTTCAGGAGAAAGAACCATCTCATTAAGAACAGAAACCCTTGGGGCTGGCTGAGTGGTGCACTGGTTAAGAGCTGGCTTGGGACGCCAGAGGGCCCCGGTTCGGATCCCACAGATGAGGGCCAGTGACACTGCCCTCTACAGCTAAGA